TGCGTTTACATGCGTGTGTTCCTTCTTTTTTCCTTCAGGCTTAGAGGGAACATGTTCTGCCCGTGGTGTAGGGTCCTAATTACTCTACTGTGACAATCTGTTATCTGACCAGCGTGTGAAAAGCCATCTGGTTGATAAAGGTCAGTGCTTATAATCTAGGTTTAGTCCTACCACCAGTCACATACACTTCATTTATAAAAGATTTGAATTAATGATAGAAAAACTGTATAATTATGTAGCATTATATACTTATACTCTTAGTGTCTCTTCACAAAGAAGATAAGTGAGAGACAAGTATAGTGCTAAACAAATGTATTAGATCGCCTGCCATAAAGATAAGAAAACATAAATATTTTTTTTAAACTGTCAAAAAAAAGGGTTACATTTTTTAATTATTTTATTATTTAATAGGAAAATATTTAATTGAACTCCTATTTTCACACATTGTATCAAATTTGACCCCGCACAAATAAACCAAGCATTACATTGAACCACAAAAACACATTTTCTGTTCAGAAGTACAAGTAAATGAGTGTAATGTGGAATCTCAATAAAACAATAATAACGTGCTTTACTATTTTTTTCTGCATTTTTGTAAAACTTTGAAGTTGAAAATTCATGGATAACAACAATAATTATATTTTACTGGAAACAATACAAGTTTGATTAAAGAGCTTGAGCATATTTAATTCACCAGTATGTGTGATGTGTATATATATACTGTGATGCCTGTGGATCTCTTTGGATAATTTGTTTTTATTATCTGTTTATGAAAAAAAATTCCAGACTTACAGAACAAGAGTGTAAGACTGTGAATTCAATTTAAACGTAAAATTATTGTTTTCTATAAAATGTATACACACTGCTGAATTAAAACCAATGACTTTAGAAAACCTTTATAGAGTCATTGACCAAAACAAATATTAATGTTTATAAGGTTAATTAATGCATTACCACTAAGTGATGAATGAAAAATTAAAATTTTATTTATAAAGTAATCGATCTATGCAGCTCGCTGTGGTCTTAAATGTAAAGTAGTTAAAAAGAACTTAATTAAATCTTAAATACTAAAAAAATATATAATTTTCATTTTTGAACCACTGTCTTATGCTAATTGTTAAAAACATGTGTGATTATGATTTATCTGCTTTACTGATGATTCTCGTCATGTTTTACCCAACAGCACAAAACAAGGAACAACATGAAATGATGTTGACTATTTATTTATTTGAATCACATTTCATAGTTAATTATACAAGAAACTTTAGTTAGAAAACTGTAGTTTTATTTAGTTGTTAGCCATGGTGTTGTTGATCCAGCTGTTGTAGTTGCAGACCTTGGTGTAGACTCCAGGCTTGTTCTTCTGAGCACAGCCGTAACCCCAGGACACAATACCCTGCAGCCGGCCATTGCACACGACGGGGCCACCGGAGTCACCCTGAGGCACAGAAAAGACAAGTGTGAGCAGAGGTGTTCTGAAGTTTGGTTTGTCCTAAAACAGTCAGGATGGCTTTAGCTCATACCTGGCAGGAGTCCTTGCCTCCCTCAAGGAATCCAGCACAGAACATGTTGTTGGTGATCTGTCCAGGATAGGAGTTCCTGCAGCTTGTGTCACTCAGGATGGGGGCATTCAGGCACATCAGACGGTCAGGGTAGTAGCCTAGAAGGGGAGGGAAAAAAAGTCATACAACTCATACATCAACATTTACGCTTTTTTTTCTGAACGTGTGACCGAAGGCTTTGACTCACTTCCACTGGTGCTGGTGTTGCCCCATCCAGAGATCAGACAGGAGGTGCCGGCACTGGCACAGCCAGAGGGCAGGGACACGGTTTTGACGTAGCTGTTCAGGGTGGCGGGCTTGCTCAGCTTGATCAGCATGATGTCGTTATCCAGGTTGTAGCTGTTGTAGCTTTGGTGACGAATGACCCTGGAAGAGCTGATGAACTGCTCAGTGCCCTCATTGACAGCAATGTTGTGCTCACCAAGGCGCAACTGGATGCTTCTGCAGGGAGAGCCAGAAGAGGAATGTATTCAAGTAGAGTGTCTACTTGTTTGGTTAGTATGCCCTTTTATAGGGGTTAGCAGCCCTGCGTGCATTTTTTCATTAAATTAATTTGATGAATGCTCTCTGTACTTACGACTGGTAGCAGTGAGCAGCAGACACGACCCAGGAGCTGGAGATCAGGGAGCCTCCACAGAAGTGATAGCCAACGTTCAGAGAAACCATGTAGGGCACAGAGTTCTTTGTGCACTCATAGCCTCCAATGATCTTGTCATCGTCAATGGGAGCAGCATCTGCAATACAGAAGGAGAGTTCCAGTGTTAAACTCTCTGTTCAAATGATCAAATTGAGAAATTTTGTGCAAAGACTTACATGCTGCAGCAAACAGGGCAAGGAGAATGAAGTACTTCATGTTTGTTTTCTGTGCCTGCGAATCTACACATAGCAGAAGAGTTTGCAGCAGCCTTATATACAGATGTGCAGCCCAGCTTCACAGCTCTTTATCTCAGTCATGCTCCCACGTATTTTTCCATGTGCCAAGCACACTGATTAAATATTAGCCCACCTGGGAAACAGCAGCATGTTTAAAGATAAAAAATATATATCTTTTTTTCCTTTTACTTATCACATCTTGCTAAATTGTCACTCTGCAACATGTTATGTTTTATCCTACATGAGCACTTTTAAGATCACTTCAATGACGGTTTTCGCTAACACACTATGTACAAATTACTGGAGAAATATTTACTACAACCTATTTAATTTTGCCTAATTTTATTAAGTTTGTAGTTAATCATACTTTTTAAAAAAAAATTGTGCCCAACAAAGAAACAAAGAACAAGTCAACATTTTAAAGTTCAGCGCACGTGTATGACTTATACAACAGTTTTTAGCATGACATGTAAAGTTTTGGTGTTTTTTTCCCCCTCTTCTTTCTTTCTTTGT